CTACATGGCTCCATGGAGTCCATAGCCTTTACCAAGCTGATGCCCTGTGAATGCAATTCACAGTTCAGAATTCTCCTGGGCATAGTCTGAAAATTATTGATTTGGAGCTTTCTTTCCAAGGGCATTAAAAAAAAACATCCTGGCCACCCAGAGTCACTTGTTGTGATGGGTGGCCACACAAATTGAGTTAATAAATAAATTAAATAAATAAATAAACAAACAATCCTCCCCCACTATTTATTAGGAACAATTAAATATAGTTTTCTTGAAAGATTAACAACAACAAAATAATGGCCTGATCATTGTAGATTACCAAATCATTTTTCGGTACGCTCTGCTCTTTGACCTCATCATACCCACTTTTTCCATTAGGCACACCTCCACATTACCAAACACTTCAATCAAAAAAAGCATCTTTATCTATACGAAAGTGAATACACACCATTTTACATCACCCCACGACTGTGAAATTTCCATTTCACAGAATGAGAATCTATCAAGCCAAAGATGCAGAGAGAAAGGTTTTTAAAATGCTCTGCCTTTTCCCCCCACTACCTCCAAAACCACTTCTAGAAAATATTAATATAAAATATTAATAACTAGATCAGCCCTAGTTATTAATACAGGAAGAGCTGAACCAATATGTGCAATGAATGAGACCATATCCCAGCATCCAGTGCAAATGTTGCTCCACTTCTTAAAGAAGATCAGAACACATCCAGGAAAGGGAAAGAAATTAAGTTTATTTTCCTAGTCATAGTGAACTTGCAGGTAAAGGACAGCACAACCATATAGCCAACCTTTACTCTCCAAGATCTACAAGAACCCGTTGGCCATCTGTTCCTTTTATCTCAACCATCTATTTACCCAACTCCAGTGTTTGCACTGAACGTTTTAGACGATGCAGCTGCAAAACTCATTTGCTATGCCTTCTTTTGTGAAACATCATCAGCTATATTACTTTTCCCTTCTCTGAAACAGGTCTATTTACAGATGAAACATGCCCTAGCATACAATTTAGCTTATGTCGGATAGCAATCTTTTCCACGGCTATCCAGCTGCATGTGCTGTAATAAAAATGAACTATGTTCCAAAATGAACAGTAACACAGCTACAACACTGCTTACCAGCTGAGGGAACCAACATTAAAGCCCTCCGTCATCTCCCTTCCTTTCCTCCAGCCTCATTCAGTTATACCATGAACTAGTTCACAGTATGAACTATGGAGCCAGGTCTCTGATGAAGCAGGGAGAGACTCTTGTTTCGGATAGAAGTGATGGAACATGGCTGGGGCCTTGTTGGTTTCCAGAAGCCACTTGCCTGTTGCTGGCTTCCAACTGCATTCCTGCTGCTGGGCCACCATTCAGCCTCTCCATATTATCCTAAAGCCATCATGGCTACTTTTCATTTCCCCTCCCTCCACGCAGCCGTTGCTTCTGCACTTCCCCAGAAGGCCTGCTCACTTTAGAACCCAGGCACTCAGGACTTCAGCATTTGCTACTGTACCAAAGTAACCAGAACAGCTCAAGCCAGGCTCTCTAGAATAAGCCCCAGTGGAACCATCCACTGTGGCTCACTCCACAAACCATGATTATGCAAACCTTGGCCAAAGGGATGCATGGGTCTGGCCACGGTCATTAGTATCATGTCAGCAAGAAGAAGAAAATGTAGCAGCAGAGCAAAAGTGGGACAATTCCTCTCGCCGCAAGTGGTATGGTATCTTGGGCCAAACCCCGTCCACCCATCAGAATTATTATTCCAAGGAACCCCACGCTGCTAGTGTGAACGCTGCAGGGGCAAACACAGAAGATACACGACATCCTGTCTGGTTTTACGCATCACACTAAGTCAGAACAGGGTTGGGTTTTTGTCTTCATCTACAGGACCTTTGTGACTTGGGTTGCCTTAGTGTGAATCCAGCCACAGAGGTTTGTAAACCATGCATTTAGCATTATGGATCAATCACGCCATTATAGCTTGTTCAAATCATGCCTTGGTGCAATTCTATTGCTTATGACAGAAGATGTAATTATACATCCTCAAGCTATTCAAGCCAAATAAACCCACTGAATTCATGATATTCTGGAGTGACTAAAGGCTATGTTTTATGAGCAATAATTAGTCACGTAACAATGTGTTATGTATTACTGGTCATTATACTACAAGAGAACATCTTCTACACCAATCCATGCTGGTCTGTTTGTATACTAGGTAACACACACTGTGTTATTGCATTAGGCACTGATTCAAGAAAAACATTCATGAACTCACACTGCCTACCTAACACTGTTAAGTACTGTTGAGTTTACAACCTGTATGTAAAGAGAGGGAGATCACTGCAATGCAATTTTAGATGACCAAGCCATCAGGAACAGTTTGGATGAAACTATAATTGAAAAAAGCAAGGTGTATCTGACCAAGTCTTTTGCTAACAGTGCTTTAAAACTGCATAAATAAAATTTGAAATCTGTAATCACAGTCTTCAGGCATGTTACTCTGCAGTAGTCATATGGACTAGTGGGCTAATTGTGAAGATAATCTAATATTTAGAAACATGTTATGTCCTGTTGATCTCAACAGTCCCTTCCTTCCATCTATAGAAACCCAACCCAAGTAATCATTAAGCACAGGCAAAAAAAGTATAGGAGCTAACAATTTCTAACAGTTCAAATGGGAGACGGATGTTCTAGGAAACAGCATCCATCAGATGCTCTCTATTTTCCTTCTAGCAACAAGGTTATATTGAAAAATTATTTAAAATGTGATACAACTGTTTTTTTCTCCACAAGCATCTGATTTAGAAACTGTACACACATTAAAGTTGCAAATAAACAAAAAATTGCACAATTGTTTTATTCATTACCTGTAAGAGGCATCCAGACAAAATGCAAAGAAAAAAAAAAGCATAATGTATAATAGAAACTGTTCTTGAATTAATGCAAACAGCAGAGAGAATTCAAGCTCAACTAATTTGCAACATTATACATTTGCTGTCCACCAAACAGCAGTTGTCTAGAGCTTATTAAAACCCTTTAAAACTCAAGAGTGATTCTCCAACCTCTAATTTGTAACAATGTCCCTCCTTTCTTTTCATATTATCAACACAGCAGCATACTGATATTTTCCATGTTGCATTGCCAAAGAGAATATACACATATGCTTTGTCCAAAAGCTATTCAAATATTACCTGGTGAAAAGGCACATATACGTGCATACATATACATACACACACACACACACAATGCATTTGGCTACATTGCATTTATTAAATATATGAAATTATAAGCTGTCATTAAGAGAGCTCTAATTTCAGATATATATCCTCCAGCCATTCCCTCCAAACAAACTCACTGAAGGTACCATCTCCTACCATTAGAGCTGTCTTAATGAAAAGACCAGTTTGGTGACACCCATCCACAAAGGATTAAATGATTCCAACAAGAAACTTCTGATAACAGTCCCCAACATTTTAAAAATAATCTCTTTCTTCCCTGCTGGCTTTCCATTTTCCCAAACTTTATCAAATTACACTAATCATAAACCCAGACAGTCTTTGCAAGGCACCCGTGATTTCTCAGTATCTTAGGCAGTATCACAGGAGAGGCCCCAGGTTGGACAAACACAGCCAGAAGGGGAAGAGTTCGCTGTGAAAGAAATCTTTATATATATGTATGAAGGCCCAGTGCTAATAACTTGGTGTGCTATTGACACAGCATAGTGCAAATAGTGAAGTCCTTTTCAGAGTAACATGAGTCACAGTGTACCTATTAAGTTTGCATTTTCCTGTTCTTGTCTGGCAGCTGGTGAAAACAGACCAGATATGGTTGAAACATATTTTCTGTAATGCATTTAGCCACAGGGAATATCCTTCCCTTCTGGCTATTACATGCATTCTGTCATCCATAATCTCTTGACAAGAAAGGGAGATATAAATAAGACACAGAACTACAACTTCTGCAGCTGGCCAGCAAGACACATTAAAAGGTGTCTTCTCTTGACGAAGCTAGTAGCTGAAGGATCATGCCCCCGCCTACTGCTCACTTGGGCTGATTCTGAATTCCTAGGTCTTACATGCATTTACTTTAGATGCAAGACCCATGGACTCCCATCGACTTCCCCATAAGCACGCTTTGTTAGAATCAAATCCTTGATTTAACATCTTGAACTAAGAAGAATGTGGAGGAATGTGAAAAAGAAGTGGGGCCACTGTGAGCGCGAACAGGCAGAGAGAAATGGCAGGCAACCACACACGACCATTAGTAATCCGTACACTTTAATATAATCTAAACACCCAACCTTAACACGCACCCAAATCTAATTTCTGTACAACTCAGACCACCAAATAAAAAGGAAGCATAGCTAGCAGCTGGCTCCGAACTCCTGTTCCCAAAGTACTTTTAGTAGGATCAGCAAAACCGTTCATTGTTCCAGGGTTTCCCCAAAAGACAGAAAAATGCATCTTTAAAAATGCACAAGTCTTTTTTTTCCCCGGCTTAGATACCGTAGGCATAGACATATTTTCTTCATCAGCACGTCCCCCATGACCAATGAAACAGTAGCTATTCTGCAAGTAGCTTACTTTGTAAGTGCATGTGTGTTTACTCGAAAACTGTGCCTTATTTCCATAGAATGGGGAGGAAATTATATGGGATTATATTTCCAAAGGGAAATGGGGGGGGGTAACAAACCACCAAAGATGATTTGTAGATAACAGAGAAGGGATGGGAGGATGAAAGTTCGGGCATGGAAAAAACTTGGGAAAGTTCTGATTCAAATCCACTGCTCCGTTTAAACAGCAGTGCAGTGGAAGTTGTAAGATCAAGTCAATCTCACGCGCTTTCTCCTTTCTTGCACCTCCCCTAGAGCCACGACCAAACTAGAGCCCCTCCAGAAGCAAACAAAACCAGGGCACCATCCAAACCAAGACAAAACTGTAACAAAACTAGTACCACCTGGAACAAAAGATTGAAGGGGGGAGGAGGAATAATGAAAATAGTCACCTTGTTGTAGCTGTAGTAACCCAAACACTGGGCAAAGTCCAGACTGGAAGGGTCTCCAGGAAGGGAGCTTCCAGATGCGGCTGGATAAAATCTTACATCCATATTGAAGGGTCGTTCTTGGGGTGGGGGTGGGGGTGTTGGAGGAGCAAGAGGGGTGAGCCGGAGAGCAGCCAAGGGCTGGGGGAGGCGGTCGGCGTGGTCCAAAGGGGCGAAGTTCTGAGCGGCTTGGAATAGATCCACCTTCCAAAGTGCTCCCCCCCCACAACACACACGCACACACTCACACAGAGGCGCACGCACTCAACACAAGCAACGCGGACCAAGTTGTTGGGCTCGGCGGAGTGGCGGAGGACGCGAGAGGACGAGGCGGGAGGGAAGGGAGCCCATCAAGAAGGGATGCGGGATGAGAGAGGCGGGGGGGAGCGGCAGGTGAGCCGGAGGGCGGGAAGGTACAGGTGAGGGACGCTCCAGGGGGAGGGAGAGAGGGGAAGCCTTTTGCGCCTCGGAGAAGGAGGGGAGGCTGTTGCTGGAGGGGGGAGAGCGCCTGCTCGCTCGCTCGCTCGTCCCCTCCGGTCGCCCCACCCCCTCCAATGGCAGGAGCGGGTTGCCTTCCTGCCTCCAGGACCAGGTGCACCACACAAAGAAGCCACGCGCCCAGCGCGGAGGAGAAAGAGGCGGCCGCGGCGGCGGCGGCGGCAGCAGCAGCAGCAGCAGCAGC